AACAATTTTTATTGACTAAAACTTGATTAATATTTTTAGTCACAGCAAATTTTATTTCAGTCTGCCTTTGCTTTCAAAGCAATGACTTACCAGCCATAAATGGTTTTTTTAAACTTAAGTTTGCTGCCAATTTGTTAGTGATGATCTAAAATTCCTGGCAACACTGGCTTAATAACCTCTTAAAGTGCAAAGTGTCAACTTATATATATATTTCTTATGTTGGGTATGTATGTGGATGTATATTTGAGTTAGTAATACATTTTTGCCATTTTTACAGTTCTTCCTTTAATAAAACAGTTAAATTAATCTTCTTCCAAAGATAATTTAACTATCGGAGCTTATACACTCCTCAAGTAAATTTAAAACAGATTCTGTTCTATCAAATGATTTTTCTTCTGATACTCTCCAGAGTCTCCAAAGATGTAATGTCTATACTGTGCTAAGTTGAACTATGCTCTGCAAATCCATTAAAACACATCTGGTGGAAATCTTTTCAAGAGTATTTAAGACTGGAAGTGTAAATTAATCTGGAAAATGTCTCTCTTTAAATGTGACCAATTTTGCTCAATACTTTCTATTTCATTGGCCAAACCACTTTACATTTTCCTATTAGAGCTCTCCCTCCCACCCTATTTTATTTTGGAAAACACTTTTTGGAGATCATAACTCTTTAAAGAAAGGAATGACCTTTCAGAGAAGACCCAAAAATCCTTTAGAGTAGAGTCTTCTCTTGTGGTATACAACCAGATGTAATTATGCTAGGTAATAGTTTCAGTTGTTAGACTGAATAACCTGTTATCTCTGATCTGTAGGGAAAGCAGAGATTTTGCCAGTGCATAAAAATATCAGTGTTTCAAAGGTGTTTTTCAGTGCCATGTGTGTGTGTGTGTGTGTATATGCTCTCTCATAAAATAACTTGTTTTATATCATGCACTCAAGAGACAAAAATGAAGTAAACTTTGATTAAAAAAAACACATTTGGCTTACTTACAACCTTCATGTGCTCAGCATACACAGGTACAAAACTTATCAGTCTAGTTTAAGATATGTTTGAGATAATTTTCTGTGCCATCTGGGCAGGACATCTCATACAGAAAAAACAGCAAGCAAGTGTGTGATCTGAGGTCTGAAGTAGTCAGTAGTGATCATATGTTCTGCAGTCCCTTTTATAACTTCTCAGGAACCATAGAGTAAAGGAAGCTGCATACCAGAACACACATACAGGAAGCAGTAAGCAACAAGATCATTGATAAATATTACTAGAGAAGGCTTGAGGAAGGTTGTCATTTCCAACACCCCCCCCCCCAGTATTTTTAAGCCATTTAGAAAAAATCTTCTGGAGCAGTGACTATGTTCATGATGTCTAAGCAAGAAGTTCTTAAGTCTAGTGTTCTTAGCATATTTCATTGTCCTTCTTTTTTTCATTGACAATAATCAGCTTAGTATTGAAATACCAAACCAATAATTTAGGAACAAGAGATATCTTTACAAACTGGAGGAAGACGAATGTTATCCCCATCTTTAAAAAGGGACCTGAGCAGCTACCAGTTAGTTTGATGTCAATACCAAGAAGGTTTCTAGAAGAGATCATTAAACAGTCAAAGTGCATCTAGAATGGTTGAAAAGGCCAAGATTTTCAAGATCCTATCGTTTCCTGTTTTATATTAGATTAAAATAAACTGACCTAGGGTGCATTAATTCAGTTTGAGCCCACTTTAACTGCCCTGGCACAGTGCTATGGAATCCCAGGAGTTGTAGTTTGGTGAAGCACCAGCAATATTCAGCAGAGAAGGCTGATGGCCTTGTAAAACTATCTGATGCCCTGGAGACTAGGACACAATGGAACAATGGCTTCGAACTACAGGAAAGGAGATGCCACCTGAACATGAGGAAGAACTTCCTAACTGTGAGAGCTGTTCAGCAGTGGAACTCTCTGCCCCGGAGTGTGGTGGAGGCTTTCTTTGGAGCCTTTTAAGCAGAGGCTGGATGGCCATCTGTTGGGGGTGCATTGAATGTGACTTTCCTGCTTCTTGGTGGGGGGTTGGACTGGATGGTCCATGAGGTCTCTTCCAACTCTATGATTCTATATTGCATTTGTCAAGCATAGTAGAAGATTCCACCTGAACATGAGGAAGATCTTCCTGACTGTGGGAGCTGTTCAGCAGGGGAACTCTCTGCCTCGGAGTGTAGTGGAGGCTCTTTTTTTGGAGGCTTTTACACAGAGGCTGGATGGTCATCTGTCAGGGGTGCTTTGAATGCAATTTTCCTGCGTCTTGGCAGAATGGGGTTGGACTGGATGGCCCACAAGGTCTCTTCCAACTCTATGATTCTAAGGGCTCAACACCCAACTTTTCTTCCTTGCTCCCTGAGAAAGCCATGGACCAGGATCTCTCGAAACCCTCTCCCTACTACTACTGATCTTTCCCTTGCTATATTTGGCTAGCTTTTCTGGTGTAAGGTACCACATATAAAAGATCTTAAACCAATTTTCTTTGATCTCTGCAGCATAAGCATATTTAAGGTTTTTTTGTCCATATTTCCTCCCATTTAGCCAAATTAATCATGTGTCCACACTGCCTTTGCCCATTTTATCATTACTTCTTTTATTTGTTCTTCTTCTGTTGCCCAGTAGTAAATGTTGGAAATTTGGGGAAAATACAGGTACCTTTATGCACATTTGGTGGGAGTGTAAGATCATTAAAAATTGGTATGAAAAAATTGAAAGAAATTCTCCAATTAAACTTTGATTTCAGACCCAAATATTTCTTACTGGGAATTTTAGACTTACAAATAGATAAAAATAATGACAAGATTTTTTTTACCTTGCTACAGCAGCAAGAATAAGCATAGCCCGCTTGCGGAAATCAAAAGAAATGGCAACAATGAATGGATGGATAGAGAAAGCATTAGATATTATGAATATGGATCTACTGACTTGAAACATTGCCCAAAACAGATCAAATTTAAATAAAACAAAATGGAACAAATTTATTAATTTATTTAAAAAATCAGCAACTACAAATGTTTATAAAAATGGAATAAAGATATTCGAAGGATCAATTATAAGTTATATGTTTAAGGGCATATATAAATGGACATGAAACAAGTGCAAAGAATACAAATATTAGCACATTAAGAGATCTGGGAGTAAAAGGAACAATATATAATGTACTAGCCATCCCCTGCCAAGAGTTGCTGTGTCCCAGCCTGTGTAAATGTGTTTTGTGTATTTATATATTTGTGTATATGTGTATATATGTGTGTTTGTGTCGACACCGGAACACAACACCAACACTGAAATACAACACCGCCTGAACTCTGTGTAACATTAGAAAATATTGACCATTTCTGCTACCTTGGCAGTCACCTCTCCACCAAAGTCAACATCGACACCGAAACACAACACTGCCTGAGCTCTGCGAGCGCAGCAATTTTCCAAATGAAGCAGAGAGTGTTTGAGAACTGGGACATTCGTAGGGATACCAAGGTGCTTGTTTATAAAGGTATTGTCCTCCCAACCCTGCTATATGGCTGTGAAACGTGGTCTACAGACGTCACATGCAACTCCTAGAACGATTCCATCAGCGCTGCCTCCGGAAAATCCTGCAAATCTCTTGGGAAGACAAGCGGACAAATGTCAGTGTGCTGGAAGAAGCAAAGACCACCAGCATTGAAGCGATGGTCCTCCGCCATCAACTCCGCTGGACTGGCCATGTTGTCCAGATGCCTGACCACCGTCTCCCAAAGCAGTTGCTCTACTCCAAACTCAAGAACGGAAAATGGAATGTTGGTGGACAGGAAAAGAGATTTAAGATGGGCTCAAAGCCAACCTTAAAAACTCTGGCATAGACACTGAGAACTGGGAAGCCCTGGCCCTTGATCTCTCCAGCTGGAGGTCAGCTGTGACCAGTAGTGCTGCAGAATTTGAAGAGGCATGAATGGAGGGTGAAAGAGAGAAATATGCCAAGAGGAAGGCGACCCTGACCGAGACCGCCTTCCACCTGGAAACCAAAGCCCTCACTGTGGAAGAAGATGCAGGTCAAGAATTGGGCTCCACAGCCACCGACAGACTCACAAGAATTCTGATCCTGGAAGACTATCCTACTCGGCCAATGAGGGATCGCCTAATTGTTTGTGTATATATGCAGTTTTGAGTATGCATTGTAATGTATATATTTTTTGTTTTGGGGCTTTTAAAGTCTCTTCCGCTGTGTTTTTCAATGTTTTTATGAGCAAGGGTCACTTGTTGGCCTGATAACCCATTGCTCCTCCTTCTCCTTCCTTATAAATGTACTTTTATCCCTAATTTACCCAGGGTTTTAAGCTTTTAATCTTTTATCTCATACATTTGGCCCGCCCTTTGTGTTTGATTTTATATCATTTTATATTGTTTATTTTATTGTTATTTTATATATTTTGTTATGATGTCTTTCCATGTTTTCTGTGTCTAATTATGTTGTATTATTTTGGGCTTGGCCTCATGTTAGCCCTTTGGGGAGATGGTGGTGGGTTATAAATAAAGATTATTATTATTATTATTATTATTATTAGTGGTGTATTGTGTCCAAATTTGGTGTCTATTCATCCAGTGGTTTTTGAGTGATGTTAATCCCACAAACTAACATTACATTTTTATTTATATAGATTTATGTTGTTTTGTAGGGATTATCAATGCTGATGTATCTTATCTTGTTTTTTTTTCTTTTATATTTTTGCCTCTTCTTTGTTTCCATACTTTTCTCCATAATCATGTTCTCCCACTTTCATTGTACAAGGAATCGCATCAAGATGTTGGGTACTTTTTTATATATTTTTTACTTATTCGTAGCTCGTCTTTTGTGTGAAATGTTGCCGATGTGTCTTGATGGTATTCACTAATAAAAAAATAATGGACCAGGATCCCTCTCCCAATCCAAGGCAAGTCTCAGCAGCGACGATTGGGAACTCCCTCTGCGCCGCCTTCTGCCCTGTGTCGGCGAGGAGGGACTGCGCCTGCGCGGCTCTCTCTCCCTTCCCACTCAGCAACTCCTCCGAAGCTGACACTGTGGCAGAAGGCGGAGCGGAGGGGTGCTGTGGCCACTCGGGAGAGGCGGAGATGGGGCGCATGGGGTGGCAGCCGGGGGCCCTGGCCCTCCTGCTGAGCCTCCTCTTGTTGGGCCTCTCCGGGGCCGAGGGCGGCAGGAAGAGAGGACCCTCCGTGACCGCCAAGGTGACTACTCCCCACCCACCCAGCCCCGGGGCTCCCAGAGAGGCGGAAAAGCGTGGCTTCCGAGGAGAGCCAAGCCGCGTTGGTGCCGGGAATGGTCCATCCCTCCTCCCAGGCTCTTTCTAACCCCCAATCGCTTGCTTGGTCTTGGGTCGGGTGGGATTCCCACGCAGAAACCCTCCCCACTTGGCTGCTGCGCCTTTAAGGTCTGCGTGGCAGAAGTTTTCCTCTCTGCGGGGAAGATTCCAGTGGCATCTTCTGGTTCCTGCCTCTAGGCACCAAAGTTAGCTCTAAAACGCGGACAGCTTGTTTAGCTTTACAGACAGGCATGGCCTCCTCGTTTATTTATTTTTAATACATTCCCCATTACTATAAATACACATTACTATAAATCCACGACTGGACTTAATGTCAGGAGAAAACCTTTACCTATAAATTATGCCCCACTTTCCTCTGAGGATTGATACCCAAAGCAGCTCGCAGCCTCAAAAGCAATACCATTCAATGATGATGGTGGTGATGATGCCCTCTTCTCCCTATATTTGTTGCCTGCTTCTCCCTGTGGTTCAAGGTGGGATACAACACTATTAAAAGATAAATCATCATTACAAGACATACAATGAGAAACGCAGAGTTAAAATACAAGTTAACATCCATTGATTAAATGCAGATTAAAATGACATTTTAAAATTGACCAGTTAAGCCTGCCAGAAGAGATGGGTCTTCAGTTAAGGGCCCTTCCATACAGCCTTATAAACTAGAATATCAAGGCATACATTTCCACAATATCTGCTTTGAACTGGGTTATCTGCATCCACCTTGCCATATATTCCAGTTCAAAGCAGATAGTATTGGATTTTATTCAGCTGTGTGGGAGGGGCCTGAGAGTTAAATTCCAACAGCTGATCTAGCTATCAAATCTCTTCCGGCAGGTCATTCCACCGTCTTAGGGCATTCCACACATACCTCACATCACAGTAGGCCCTTTAGTATTCAACTTTTAGGTTGAAAGTAGGTGTTATAGAAAACAGTGTGTGGTTGCAGCTTATCTTCCTTTCCTTGTACTGTTTTGAGTAATACAGCCTGTGACATGGGATGCATTTTCCCTCCATTTGCCTGTGATTATAGGCAATGATATTTGGTGACAGCAGCCCCCTATCCACACCAAAGCATTATTTACTCATCAAAATGTGAATTTGTATAAGTGTATGTGCACTTACAGTATAAATGTGTCTACCCTCTGAAATGAAGATTATATATACATTAAAGACCAGGAGTGCTGTGAGATCCCCGTAACTGCAGAGTCCACATCTGTGGTTTTAATTACCATGCTGGGGGAAGATGATCTCTCTAGGAATTTGTTAGGTTCTCTAGATATGGTATGTTTCCTCTGGATACCATTATAGAAATCTCTAGGTCCTCCAGGAGGTCTTTATGGTATGTTGGGACCAGGAATCAGATAATGTAATGGTGTTTGGTTATATATAAAAGGTAAAGGTAAAGATTTCGCCTTGACATTAAGTCTAGTTGTGTCCGACTCTGGAATGTGATGCTCATCTCCCTTTCTAAGCCAAAGAGTCAGAGTTGTCCGTGGACACCTTCTAGGTCAGTGGTTCTCAACCTGGGGTCCCCAGATGCTGTTGGCTTACAACTCCCAGATATCCCAGCCAGTTCACCAGCTGTTAGGATTTCTGGGAGTTGAAGGCCAAAAACACCTGAGGACCCCAGGTTGAGAACCACTGTTCTAGGTCATGTGCTTAGTATGACTGTATGGAGCACTGTTACCTTCCCACCAGAGCAGTACCAATTGATCTATTCACAATTGCATATTTTCAAACTGAAAGGTTGGCAGAAGCTGGGGCTAACAGTGGGAGCTCACTGCGCTCCCCAGATTTGAACCACCAACATTTCGGTCAGCAAGTTCACCAGATCAGTGGTTTAACCCGCTGCACCACCGGATGTTACAGTCATGTATAAATACTGTAAATAAATAAAATCCATGGTTTCAGGTAACTGTGATCTGGCCAGGAGCATATCACTCATGGAAATGGGGGTCTTGCTGTATATTTTGGATACTGTGTAGAAATCCTGTGTACAGTTGGTGGTCAAATAGTTTAGCTAGAGCAAGGGAGGAGAAGCCATGTTTTCTAGCAGCTAACAACCTCTTGGGAGAGAGTTTTATTCCCTTCTAGAAGTAGTTATAATAAAAAGTGAATTTCAGTTGGCATCAGATCAACAACAATGGATGAGGAACCCACATTTTCCTTTTCAAATTACAATTTCAGAGAAATGCATTGAACGATTAATGGATAGAGTTATGTGTCCTTGTAATATACTTACTATCTCTGTATTGTAGCATATGTGATCAATTTGGCAGTGTTTAACCATCTGCGCATATGTGCTCAGGGACCCCTACCTTTGACCCACAGTTCTGAAAAGTTCCTTTTGGTCCTGAAAGCTGGATCATCTCACTGCTTCACCATTTCTCCCTTGAGCTCTGTCTCTCTGACATGTTCAAGAAGTTCTTTTGGAATAAGGTATTATGAGATCAGCCCAGTATAAATCGTGGTCTTAAATGCAATAAAAGATTGACATTCTGGTATCAATTACCACAGCTCATTCATCTCAGTTTAAGATACCTTTGTGTTTTGCTTTAAGACAATAGACAGTCACTGGGTCCAGATCCATGCATTATTTTTTAGATAAGGTTTTTGAAAATCCAAAAAACAATCTTTGATTTTTTTTCTTCCACCCTGGACATTCCACAGATATATAAACCTCATGTGCCTAGTTTCCAAAAGACCCCTCAACGTCTGAGGATGCCTGCCATAGATGTGGGTGAAACGTCAGGAGAGAATGCTTCTGGAACAGGCCCATACAGCCCGGAAAACTCACAGCAACCTAAACTTTGATTTGTGTGCCATTGTATAATAGGTCTTGAATATCCATATGTTTTGGTATCCACAGAGGTTCCTTTGGATACCAAAGGCCACTGTCTATTTTTTCAATTTTCTGCAAACGTTCACACCTAGGAAAGGGGGATGGTTTGAAGGAGAAGGAATGGACAAAAATCTTGCTTGTCCCCTTCATCATATGAGGCCCCACAACATTTGAAGTTTTTGTATTTAAAGAAGTTGTCTTTGTCTGAATGGGTAGGAAACTCTGCATCTAACTCAGTTTGCTCAAACTTTTGTTTTAATTCTAATCTTTCATATGCACATTGATACATTTTCATATCTTTACTTTTATCCAGGTGTTTTTTGACATACAGATTGGTGGCAAAGATGTCGGCAGAATTGTAATTGGCTTGTTTGGAAAAGTAGTACCGAAGACTGTAGAAAACTTCATTAAACTTGCAACTGGAGAAGTAAGGTCTTTCCCCTCCGGTAAACAACTGTGTCTACATGCATTTAAATATCTGCAGCTCTTTACAAAACAATTGTTTTTTTAATGTAAGCTCTGTTCATATGGTGCTGTATTTTACCATTCATGGGAAGTGGACAGTCAACTCCTCCTAACTATGAAAAATGTTAAGCTCAGTCTTCTACTTCTGTTTAGATCTTGCATAGGGATTGTCTTCAGCATTGCACTTCACACAGAATCACAGTTATGAGAACCCCTGTTCCTAGGCCCTTCAGTATAGAGCAATAGAGGCATATTTATTTATTTATTTATTTATTTATTTATTTATTTATTATTTAAACTTATATGCCGCCACTCCCCTGGGGCTCGGAGCGGCTTACAAGAATAGCTAAAATCTAACAAAGTTTAAAAGCAATTTAAAACAATTTAAAAACAACAGTATCAAACATTAAAAGCCTGTCGGAACAGGTATGTCTTACATGCCCTGCGGAAAGCTGGTAAGTCCCGCAGGGCACGAACCTCAGGTGGCAGAGCATTCCAGACTGATGGCGCCACTGCTGTGAAGGCTCTGCGTCTGGTTGCCGCTAGACGCAAGGTCTTGACACTGGGGACCTCCAATAGATCTTGGTCCTCAGAACGGAGGGATCTCTGGGGTTGGTAGGGGGTGAGACGATCCCTCAGATACATTGGCCCCAGACCATGCAAGGCCTTAAAGGTGAGTACCATCACTTTGAAAGTGATCCGGTGCTCAATTGGTAACCAATGCAGCTGTAGTAAGATTGGTGTTATGTGGCATCTCATCGGAATTCCCGCAAGAAGCCGAGCAGCTGCGTTTTGTACCAACTTGAGCTTCCGAATCACCGACAGAGGGAGGCCAATGTAGAGGGCGTTACAGTAGTCCAGTCTTGAGATGACCGTGGCCTGGATCACCGTAGCTAGGTCGTCCCTGGACAGGTAGGGGGCCAGCCGTCTAGCCTGCCGCAGGTGAAAGAAGGCGGTTCTGCTCACGGCGGAGACCTGGGCCTCCATTGTCAGCAGAGGGTCCAAAAGGACTCCCAGACTCTTTACCAATGATGACGGGCGTAACGCCTCGCCATCCAGGGTGGGCAGATGGATGTCCCCACTGCCCGGTCCACCCAGCCATAGGATCTCCGTCTTTGCTGGATTCACCCTCAACCTGCTGGCACGCAGCCATCCAGTAACGGCCTCGAGGCACTGATGGAAACAATCAGGTACAGAGTCCGGTCGGCCTTCCATCTTCAGCACCAGCTGAGTGTCATCGGCATACTGATAACACTCAAGCCCAAAACCTCGAACCAGCTGAGCAAGTGGTCGCATATAGATGTTAAACAACAGAGGGGAGAGAATGGCCCCCTGAGGAACCCCACAAGATAGAGGGGACCTCTCAGAGACCAGGCCTCCTCTCTCCACTCGCTGTCCACGGTTGTGAAGAAAGGAGGACAGCCAGACCAGTAAAATCAAACCCTTCGTTTTATGAAGAGATTAGGCTGCATGGTTTGTGTTTTTCATGGTGGTGATGCTTAGATTGTGCTGAAGCCTATCAATCGATCAATCAAACTTTATTTATATCCCACCCTATCTCTTCATGGGGACTAATGGCGGCTTACAACATAAAGCACTGAATAAACCCAAGACCCTATTTTTCAACTTTTAGATCTTTGGGATTTTAGGATGCCAAACCATTTTTTGTGTGTCAGGAGTGACTTGAGAAACTGCAAATCGCTTATGGCATGAGAGAATTGGCCATTTGCTAGGATGTTGCCCAGGGGACACCTGGATGCTCCATCCAGGTGGATGCTGTTGCTCCATCCTCTACTATTATTTTTTTTGTCGTATCAGGAGCAACTTGAGAAACTGGAAGTCACTTCTGGTGTGAGAGAATTGGCTGCCTGCAAGGATGTTGCCCAGGGGACGCTCGGATATTTTTGATGTTTTACCATCCTTGTGGGTAGCTTCTCTCATGTCCCCACATGGGGAGCTGGAGCTGACAGAGGGAACTCAACCCACTCTTCGCAGATTCAAACTGCTGACCTGTTGGTTAGCAGTCCTGCCGGCACAAGGGTTTAACCCATTGTGTCATTGGAAAAATAATGTACAGTATGTGGAGTCTCCTGGCAAACTGTAATACAAAGGTAATCTGACAAAGGCAGGACACAATCCTGTCCAAAAAGTAATTTTGTAATTCTTTCCATAATACAAGGCTATGTAAACTTTATATGCAGCTGTCTGCACTCATGCATTTAATGATCCATGGCTTGAAAATATGTTAAAATATAAAAAAAAAAAAAAAGCAAATTTTGGTACCCACAAAGAGACCTAGAATCAAACCCCAGCAGACACTATGGGCCCATTACAATTCAGTGCAACACAAAGGAAGACAAGTACAACTGAGGTAAAGAGATTACATATAACTTACTGTTTTTATGGGAATGTTTAATCTTGACAGTTGTCTTTTGACCATTTTGTGTGTGTGACAAATTACTATGCTATAGCAGGGTAATTATGTACTTTGTCTTTCAGAAAGGCTTTGGCTACAAAGGAAGTACCTTTCATCGTGTGATCAAAGATTTTATGATTCAAGGGGGTGACTTCACAGCTGGAGATGGCACTGGAGGTAACACTGGTTTCTTTATACATAAAATGCATAAAACATAAATAAATCAGGCAGAATTGCTAAAATGCTAGGCGAATTAAAATCAACAAGATGGAAGAGACCAGGGGGCCCGTCCAGACAGAACTTTTACTGCGGTATCTACCGCAGTAAAGGAGGGGCCTTCCAGACAATGTTCTGGACAGTCCCAAATTAATTCACTACAAACCAGGAAAACCCTGGTTTGTGGCAAATTAATTTGTAGGTTTATTCTGCGTCTTCTTGGAAGGCGTGGGATAAACCCACTACTTCTGGTTCTGGAGTATAGTCCAGGCACCATTCCCACAGTTTACTGGGCTAAATATGCCCGGTAAACTGTGGGAATACCCACACCCTCCTCTGAAGCCCCCGACCCCTTAAAAAATAATGATAACTTACCTGGCCTCCATTGCAGGCTTTGAGCAGCTCTCCCGGCACGTAGAAATGACGTGCCAGGAGGGTGGGAGGGGGAGGGAGGAAAATCATTCATTACCTTTTTATTACTTTTCAAAGGCGCCTGGGGGTTCAGGGGAGAGGGTAGGGCCTCCAGACGTTCTCCTGTGCTAGTCCTGGGAGAACGTTTAGATACCCACCCCAGAAAGCATGCACGGATTCTCCTGGGATAAAGACCTGTCTGGATCCGCCCAAAGAGACCACACAGAACAACCTATGTAACTCCATTCTATCATGCAGGATCACAAAATCAAAGCACGATAGATGGTTATCCAGCCTCTGTTTAAAAACTTCAGAGAAGAAAACTGCACCACACTCCCAAGCAGCATATTCCATTGTTGAACATCAATTACCATTAGGAAGTTCTTCTTAATGTTTAGGAATTGTAAAATCTCTTTCCTTTCCTTTTGAATCCGTTTCTCCACGTCCTAGTCTCTAGAGCAGCAGAAACCAAGCCTGCCCCCTCCTCAATATGGCACTCTTTAAAATATTTAAACATGACTATCATGTCCCTTCTCCACCTTGTCTTCTTAAAGCTGAATATTTTCAGCTCCTAAGCCATTCCTCATAGTGCCTGGCTTCAAAACCATTTTGGCAAACTCTGGCAGGGAAAAGGGTAAGCTGAAGAAAAAGCCTTGGTGACTAAAATGTATCTGTATATTTCTCATATCTTGGAGTAATATGCTATAATGTATCCCATTGTTGCACAGCTTGCCTAAGGCTGGTGACTGATGCAGCAATCTGTTTAGAAACCGTCTTTCAGCTGTTTCATGGCAGAAGATGTTTAGGAGTTCTCTAAAGGTGTGGGTATGGCCTTGCAGTCTTCCAAAATTCTTGCCTTTCTTTATTATTTTTGCTACACAGAATGCTTTGTTTTCCAGGAAAGAGTATCTATGGAAACAGGTTTCCAGATGAAAATTTTAAACTGAATCACTATGGTATTGGTTGGGTCAGCATGGCGAATTCTGGTCCACATACTAATGGTTCCCAGTTTTTCATTGCTGTAACGAGGCCTGGATGGTTAGATGGAAAGCATGTCGTTTTTGGAAAAGTCATTGATGGCATGGTAGGTTAATGTTGCTTTGACCGTAGCTTGTTATAGCTATAAAAGCATTGGAATTGTTTGCTCCAGTTTTTGGCCTACAGTATCTTATTTTATAGGCACTTAAGAGTTCTGCAACACATTCTGACTTGAGCATATTTGGCTATCTATTGTGAAAGTGGAGAAATCAGATAGCCAGTTCTCCAAGCTCTTGAAATCACTAGAATCAACTAGGATTTATCTGGGATTGCCTTTTGAACACTGGTCACATGGCATTTGATTCAAAATATAGCTAGTATGTTATTGACTATGGACAGTTGTTAGGAATGTATTACAGGTACTTGGACAACTTCCATCCTGCCAAGCATGATCAAGTGCTGATGTTTACCTTAAAAGCCCTACATGAATGGGGAATTATGCAATTTAAGAAACATTGGACAACCACTCATTACCAGAGCTTAGAAATGTTAGTGCTAATGTCTGTGTTAAATACTGTAATTAAAAAATAATTTGCTGACATTGAATAAATAAGAGAAATTAGGAAAATTTGTTATGTCGCATTAACCATTATTATCATATTTAATTTTAATTTTTAAACTGAGGTTTCATTTTGAGTGGCCAATCTATATAGATAAGTTCAGACTGGAGACTCTCACAGTGAAGGAACAATTATCAGGATCCTACATCGCAAGTTATATGTATTTCATATAGCTAAGTCTCTGTTGCTACATGTCTCAATGCTATTATCCCCCAAATTCATCCTGTAAACTACATCCTCACACTGACACAGCTATTCCAGATTGTGCAACTATTTTCCTTTTTTTCTGAATGTGCCTGAGATGTCCCTGCCATTGTTGTCCTTGCAATATGTCCAGCTAAAGGAGAATAGTTGCTCTCCAAGAACCCAGAATAGCTGTGTTGAGAGTGGCTGAGTGGCTGACAAAATGGGATTTGATGGGGCTTTTTTCTAACACATGATCAGAAGTTTGGGTCCAGCCTATCTTCGTGATCGCATCTTCCCCTACACCGGCACAAGCTCTATGTTCTGCCAGGAGGCTCTCCGCTCGGTCCTGCCTCTGTCTCAAGTGCGGCTGGTGGGGACGAGGGAGAAGGCCTTCTCGATCGTGGCCCCCCAGCTCTGGAACACCCTCCTCAGGGAACTTAAGTAAGCTCCACACTACAGCGCCTTCAGAAAGAGCTAAAAACTTGGCTCTTTCAGCAGGCCTTTGATAATATTTAAGATAGCAGCCAGACTACCATCTTTAGCCAGGGAAGGCTAAATTGATGGTATGGACTTTTGATCAATGGCCATTGCCATATTTTATTGATTCTATTGCTCCTATTTTATATGCCTGGTTTTAAATGAGTTATTGGTTTTAATGTTGATAAATTGTATTTAACATGCTGTATGGCACCATTATGTGCTAGTTATAAGCCGCCCCGAGTCCCTATGGGAGATGGAGGTGGAGTATAAATAATAATTATTGTTATCATCATCATCATCATCATCATCATCATCAATCTAATTCTTTAGTAAAATTCACCCCATTGCTTGTACCATCTGAAAGCTCCCACCAAGCACACTACCCTACTCATCCATCTCATCCAGGGTTTATATATTTTTCAATTCTATCCCTTATAATTTGGCCCAGCCCATTGTGCACATTTTTATTATTTTATTTCATTTCCTGTGTTTGACTTTGTATTAACTTGTTTTGTTTACATTTTATTTGATGTTATTATTTGCTGCGTGTATTTTATTTTGATCTGTTGTAATTGTTGGGCTTGATCTCATGTTAGCTGCCCCGAGTCCCCTTTGGGGAGATGGTGGTGGGGTATAAATAAAGTTTTATTTATTTATTTGTTGTTGTTGTTGTTGTTGTTGTTGTTGTTGTTGTTATTATTATTATTATTATTATTATTATTATTATTATTATTATTATTAGACAATTTCAAGCTATGCACCTGCCAAAAATTGAGTTGCAATGACATATGTGGAATTTACACCATCACTGACAAATATGCCAGGGAATGTGTTTACTTCAGTTCTTCCTGGAATGATCATTTAAGGGCACAGGAACAGGTTCTTTATTTTGGCAGGGGTAGGGGTGCTATCATGTAAAATGGAGACTACAGTCAAGAGCTAAGTGGAATTCCATGATTGTTGCTACCTGCCTTTGGCATGCCTGAAATCAAAAAAATAATCTCTCTCTCTCTCTCTCTCTCCTGTAGTCAGTAGTGCATGCTATAGAACTTCAGCCAACTGATGAACATGACCGTCCTCTTCAAGACTGTGTGATTGTTAACAGTGGAAAAATAGATGTAAAAGATCCATTTGTGGTTGAAGTAGATGACTGGACAAGTTGACAGCAATGCCAGCAATGGAACTACAATGGCTTCTCCTCTGGGAAAACCCTATGAAAGACTATTACCTGAAACTGTTTTTTTTTCCAAAGAGAATACAGTAAACCCACATGTGGTAGTACTGAAATACCTGGTTATCAAATCAACAAACGTTAAAAAAAAACCCTGTGCTGTTGTCTCAGGAGTTTTACAATTTTTTAAAATCATGAAATATATGTAAGTGGTTGAAAATGAGAATTTTCCTATATTTTGTTCATACATTAACCCCATGTATCACATTCTCTGGCACTCTTTGTTTACACCAGTAAATGATCTGACTGATAAAATTGGTTTATAACACATGACTTCACAAACTTAAAAATATTTTCTGCTGAAGAGAATTAAAATTGTATTCAATTAACTCTAAATCCACATACGATGCTGATTTCCTGATTTTAGGAATCTCCAAAATGTCTCTATTTTATCTATAGGACACATCATTAGCTCCTTGTTTAAAGTAAATAAGAATTGTAATATTCTTTCATTCATCTTTTATGGAAGCCCTCCCTCTGACAGTTCATAGAATCATAGAATCATAGAATCAAAGAGTTGGAAGAGACCTCATGGGCCATCCAGTCCAACCCCCTGCCAAGAAGCAGGAATATTGCATTCAAATCACCCCTGACAGATGGCCATCCAGCCTCTGTTTAAAAGCTTCCAACGAAGGAGCCTTCACCACACTCCGGAGCAGAGAGTTCCACTGCTGAACGGCTCTCACAGTCAGGAAGTTCTTCCTAATGTTCAGATGGAATCTCCTCTTGTAGTTTGAAGCCATTGTTCCGCGTCCTAGTCTCCAGGGAAGCAGAAAACAAGCTTGCTCCCTCCTCCCTGTGGCTTCCCCTCACATATTTATACATGGCTATCATGTCTCCTCTCAGCCTTCTCTTCTTCAGGCTAAACATGCCCAGCTCCTTAAGCCGCTCCTCATAGGGCTTGTTCTCCAGACCCTTGATCATTTTAGTCGCTCCTCTGGACACATTCCAGCTTGTCAATATCTCTCTTGAATTGTGGTACCCAGAATTGGACACAATATTCCAGGTGTGGTCTAACCAAAGCAGAATAGAGGGGTAGCATTACTTCCCTAGATCTAGACACTATGCTCCTATTGATGCAGGCAAAATCCCATTGGCTTTTTTTGCCGCCACATCACATTGTTGGCTCATGTTTAACTTGTTGTCCACGAGGACTCCAAGATCTTTTTCACACGTACTGCTCTCGAGCCAGGCATCCCCATTCTGTATCTTTGCATTTCGTTTTTCTGCCAAAGTGGAGTATCTTGCATTTGTCACTATTGAACTTCATTTTGTTAGTTTTGACCCATCTCTAATCTTTCAAGATCGTTTTGAATCCTGCTCCTGTCCTCTGGAGTATTGGCTATCCCTCCCAATTTGGTGTCGTCTGCAAACTTGATGATCAGCCTTCTAACCCTTCATCTAAGTCATTAATAAAGATGTTGAACAGGACCGGGCCCAGGATGGAACCCTGCGGCACTCCACTCGTCACTTCTTTCCAGGATGAAGAGGAAGCATTGGTGAGCACCCTCTGGGTTCGTTCATTTAACCAATTACAGATCCACCTCACCGTAGTTTTGCCTAGCCCACATTGGACTAGTTTCCTTGCCAGAAGGTCATGGGGGACCTTGTCGAAGGCCTTACTGAAATCCAGGTACGCTACATCCACGGCATTCCCCGCATCTACCCAGCTTGTAACTCTATCGAAAAAAGAGATCAGATTAGTCTGGCATGACTTGTTTTTGATAAATCCATGTTGACTATTAGCAATGACCGCATTTGTTTCTAAGTGTTTGCAGACCACTTCCTTAACAATCTTTTCCAGAATCTTGCCTGGTACTGACGTGAGGCTGACCGGACGGTAGTTGTTTGGGTCATCCTTTTTTCCCTTCTTGAAGATTGGGACCACATTGGCCCTCCTCCAATCTGCTGGAACTTCTCCTGTTCTCCAAGAACTCTCAAAGATGATTGCCAATGGTTCCGAAATGACTTCCGCTAGTTCCTTCAATACTCTTGGGTGTAGTTGATCTGGCCCTGGGGACTTGAACTCATTTAGAGCGGCCAGGTATTCCTGTATTACTTGTTTTCCAATTTGGAGTTGGATGTCCTCACATCCCTCATCCACTCCGTCTTGCTGAGGTTGAAGATAACTTTCTTTTTGTGAGAAGACCGAGACAAAGAAGGTATTTAGTAGTTCTGCCTTTTCCCTATCCCCTGTCAGCATTGCCCCATCTTCTCCTCGAAGAGGCCCTATCGCCTCCTTGTTTTTCCTTTTTCTACTGACATAAGAAAAGAATCCCTTTTTATTGTTTTTAATGTCCCTGGCAAGCCTGAGCTCGTTTTGTGCTTTAGCCTTGTGGACCTTTTCCCTACAGCTGTTGGCTATTTGTTTGAATTCTTCTTTGGTGATTTCTCCCTTTTTCCAGTTCTTGCGCATGTCTCTTTTGTGTCTCAGCACAGTTAGAAGTTCTTTGGACATCCATTTTGGCTTCTTTGCACTTGTCCTCTTTTTTCTTTTTGTTGGCACGGTTTGCAACTGCGCCTTGAGTATTTCACTCTTGAGAAACTCCCATCCATCCGTAACTCCCTTGTCTTTTAGTTGGGTTTGTTTGCCGAAATGAAAGATGTGCAAAGTGTTTGACATACAGTATTCCGGTCACAATTACATTATGTTACCACAAAGAGTCATTTTGTTTGTCTCAAATGTGTTTTTATACTTCATACAGACATTAAACTTTTTTCCTGGAAGAACCTATTCTTGTTTTCTAAAGCCAAATGCCTCATTTTGTCATGAAGCAATCATTACCTTATAAAGATGTAAAGTTGTAGCCATTTTCTTGGTCCAATAAAAACACACTTAGATAAACTAAGTCTTAGAACAATATGTGCTGGAAGGCACAATCTGATTTGTGATTTAGTAAAATTGATAGTAATTTGCCATTTCTTAACAAAATGTCTTTTTGTCTGTTCGTATTAGAAGACCTCAGTGCCATTTATTTCTAGGTGACACATTATTTGAAATACATACTACATTTATTCCCAAGCAAGCAAGTATTCTAGAGACACAAGAGAGCTGATCAAGGTCAAAGTGTGAATGTATTTTCTTTAAACCCATCTCAGCCGTAACTTGTTGCAGTAGTAAAATATACTGAAAGATGGAGCTAGTGCACTTAAGTATTTGCTAGACCTAGATAGGCAAGCAAACAAGCAGACAAGTGCACCAAGTAAGCAGCTTACTCTTGATGGGGGTATTTAGGAATTTAATGCAACAGCTTGCAGGTGCTCCGGCACCATTGTAGTAGACCTTTCCCCCCTCTTCTCAGGGGCTGCAATGGGAAGACCAGGTCACCCTCCTCCTGTGCCGTCTTATTTCTGGATGGACAAGCATCCTCCTGATCTGGAGGCCCTTTCACTCCTCTTGATCTGGGGCACTATCGTTCTACTTTCATTGACATGACTATGTTCTTTGGGGTTTGTGACTTGATGAGACAGAGTTCTCTGTGGCTGAGAATTTTAAATACCTCTCTCTCAACTGGGTGAAGGTGGTGGTTAATGCCTCCCTTCAGGAGGGCAAAATTCCAGCCAGCTTAAAGCAAGCTGTGATAAAACCGCTGTTGAAGAAACCATCACTGGACCCCACTCAATTCGTCAACTATCGGCCTGTTTCCAATCTCCCCTTTTTGGGCAAAGTCATGGAACGTGTGGTGGCCTCACAACTCCAGGCATTCTTGGTAGACACGGATTATCTGGATCCGGCACAAGTCTGGCTTTAGGCCGGGACATGGTACCGAGACAGCCTTGGTCGCCTTAGTGGATGATCTCTGTCGGGAGCTAGACAGGGGGAGTGTGTCCCTGTTGGTTCTGCTAGACCTCTCAGCGGCCTTCGGATACCGTCGATCACGGTATCCTTCTGGGACGCCTCGCGGGACATGGGACTTGGTGGTACTGTTCTGCAGTGGCTCCGGTCCTTCCTGAGGGTCGGTCTCAGAAGGTGTTGGGGACCCCTGCTCAACCCCACAACCATTGTCTTGTGGGGTTCCTCAGGGTTCAATACTGTCTCCCATGTTGTTTAACATCTACATGAAGCCGCTGGGCGAGATCATCCGGAGTTTCGGAGTGCGATGTCATCTGTACGCAGATGATGTTCAACTCTGTCACTCCTTTCCACCTGCTACTAAGGAGGCTGTCGAGGTCCTGAACCGGTGCTTGGCCGCTGTGACGGTCTGGATGGGGGCGAACAAATTGAAATTGAATCCAGACAAGACAGAGGTACTCCTGGTCAGTCGCAAGGCCGAACAGGGTATAGGGTTACAGCCTGTGTTGGATGGGGTCGCACTCCCCCTGAAGACGCAGGTTCGCAGTTTGGGTGTGATCCTGGACTCATCGCTGAGCCTGGAACCCCAGGTTTCGGCGGTGACCAGGGGAGCATTCGCACAATTAAAACTTGTGCGCCAACTGCGACCGTACCTTGGGAAGTCTGACTTAGCCACGGTAGTCCACGCTCTGGTTACATCCCACCTTGATTACTGCAACGCTCTCTACGTGGGGTTGCCTTTGAAGACAGCCCGGAAGCTCCAATTAGTCCAACGGGCGGCAGCCATGATACTAACAGGAGCGGGGCGCAGGGAGCACACAACTCCTCTGCTGCACCAGCTCCACTGGCTGCCGATATGCTACCGGGCTCAATTCAAAGTGCTGGCGTTGGCCTTTAAAGCCCTAAACGGTTCTGGCCCAACTTATCTATCCGAACGTATCTCAGCCTATCAGCCCACCAGGACCCTAAGATCTTCTGGAGAGCCCTGCTCTCTATCCCGCCGGCTTCACAAGTGCGGCTGGCGGGAACGAGAGACAGGGCCTTTTCTGTGGTGGCCCCTCGGCTTTGGAACACCCTCCCTTTAGAGGTACGATCAGCCTCCTCGCTGATGGTGTTTCGGAAGAGATTGAAAACATGGTTGTTTAAACAAGCATTTGGCTAATACGTTGCAACCGAATGTTGATGACTAAAGGACTGGCAATCATGGACGACGAATTTTGGATTGAGATTTTAGTTACGAGATGCATGGGATTATTATTGGTGGCCCAATAATTTGTATTGTAATTGTGTTTCATGTTTTTAAATTGGTATTGTTTTTAATTGTTGTAAACCACAATGAGTCGCCGACTTAGGCTGAGATATTAGCGGTATACAAGTCTATAAATAAATAAATAAATAAATAAATAAATCCCAGAATTTCATAGGGCATTCTTATGACTGCACCCTGTGTTGTGTAAATAGCAACTTGGGTTTGATTACAACTTTAAGCTTCAAAATAAATTCACCTCAAAAATATTTTTGGTTTTTCAGATGAGCCAGGCAGTGATGAGGCTATAATGTAAAAGCCAGATTAACAAAACACTACAAAAAGGGAAAAGAGTTTCAAACAGGAAGAGGTCAATTGAGAATCTAGTTGAGGACAAGTAGTAAAGTGGAAGGCACTAGGAAAAGTGGGAACCCTCACTACAGAGTTTGGCACTGAGTTTGGAAGAGGAAGGCAGTTGACAGTTCACACTACTGTTACCATGAATACAAAATAGATTTGGAAGCAAATAACTACAAAGAAAACACTGGTTGATGTTAATGTTATTTTGAGTTTTAATATCTTGTAAAATACTGCTGGAATCCTATTATCATCATCTACATTATGTAATTTTCCATATCTCAGCTATGTAGCACAGAAGCTAAGAAACCCTGTAAGTGAATTGTGATGAAGTGTAACAGGAGGCCAACAAGAGTTCCCAATGAGCATTAATGCCCAATGAGTGTTGGTATCCAATGAGCATCGGGACTAGTGTCACACATGTCTCATTGTGAGTCTGTCCCATTGCGCATCAGTTCCATTACATAATTGTTGCTTCACCGGCTCTGCTACACAGTCACGTAACGGCAGTCCTTTTGTAGATATAGACTATGAAACTGCCCAATTCTAATTCTCAAAAAGGTAAGTCTACTTACAAAGATGTAACTCCCAAACAGGACTCTGGTTCATATGCTTGGTTTCATTTAGCTCAGTGTTGCGCAACCTTTGGTCCTCCAGGTGTTTTGGGCTTCAGCTGGAAGGCTGGCTGGGATTTCTGGGAGTTGAAGTTCAAAACATCTGGAGGACCAAATGTTGTGAAACACTGATTTATACAGTTGATCTCTGAGCAATGACAAGACGATTGGTGACAAACTTGTTTTTGGTTATGGAATGGTGTAGGTCGGTTTTCGGTTATGGAATGGTGTAGATCAGCACATCATGTTATCTGGAAGCACAAGGATTGTGACCAGGGTCCTGAAGTAAACTAAAGCTATATTTGAACCCAATTTCAAGCATATAAACATTTCCCTCCATTCTCCATAATGCAGAAATGATGTGATATCAGACATACTGATACAATAAGCTTATATTGCATTTCCAGGTTTGGCAGTTTGTTTCTTAAGCTTTACATTATTTCAGTCTTGCACACTAAAATTTCCTGGGCACCCACTGCCAGCAGTGGATACTACAGTGAGAAAAAGGCTGAATGTAATCATTTCATTACCAAAAAATAAAAATAAAATATATGATGAAAGTTATTAGTGTAATACTCAGTATATGACTGTCAGCAGTTTTATGATTTAAATATCTAGAGTTCAGTAGATACATTGATCAGAATTGCCGTTTTGTCCATTCATAATTTTTAAAGCAGCAATATTAGTGACACAGATTTTAAAAAGAGTTCCATCATTAAATACAAGTGTTTCCACATCCCACTGTTTTGAGTTTTACTAAAAACCGAGCTCAAGGAGCGGAATTTGAATGTACTTTCGTGACTGTATGTCGAAATCCATTTTCTACCTCGGTTGTAGGTGAGAATAAAACAATCCACGAAGAACACCTTCAATAACTACATTTGGAAAGTCATCTGGAAAAAAGAGAGAGAAGAAAAACTGCTTTCTTACATATGTCAATACAATATAAATGTTTTTGTAGAGCTTAACAAGGAAAGGCCCAGTGTAATTTAGGATATTGCATCACCACCGTGTTTATCTATGCTCAGGATTGTGTTATTAGTAATGCTGTTTCAGCACTAAACCCACTTTAGTGTAGCACTGGGCATTGCTTGAATGCTCTGCCAGATTTGTAGCTTATTGATTTAAAGGGATGTTCTAATACTTAATGCTGCTAGGCTCCAGCTCTTTATCTGAATCTTTTCTCACAAGGAAGATGGATTACACTGGCAATTCAATTTCTAACAAAATCTCAATACACTTGAAGGAATTCCAAGATTTCTACTGGGAATACTTCACAGCAGTTTTTCCATTGTAGTTTACAGCAGTGTTTAGTCCAAGTTGACTGGAAGAGGCTTTATACCATCACAGAAGCATCCCTAGAGCAATGAGCCGAGCCAACATAAAAGGGACAGTTTCTTACATCTAAAGGAAGGGAAGGTATTTCTAAAACCAAGGGATGGTAATCATCACAAGAGATACACTAATGGAAATGATATACTAATAGAAAGATGACATTCCCTGGAGAATGTCAGAAAGGCACACATAATCTCTCCCTCTGTGCATGTAATATAGTGCTAAAAGGAAACTAATAAATCAGTTTGATTCTGAATAGCAATATATTATATGTGGTTCTCTGTGTGTGAGTGTGTATGAGACAGATACATTTATTCTCTTAGCACTACATGTTCACATTTTTCTAGACAGAACTATATAAAAACAAACTACTATATTTCTCCGATTTTAAAATGCATGCCCCCATATAAACATCTCTAAAAATGAAGTGTGTTTTAGAATCACAAGTGCTTTTGTATATGTATGTGTGTATATACACACACAAACACACACACACATGACTTCATTACCACAGGCATTTCAAAAAGATGTGTGTGTGTAAAACTTTTTAAAATGTCTGTGGTACTGAAGTTAGTGTGTGTCTTACAATAGAAGATATAAAGTAATAGACTCTGCAACAAAGGCATGTATTTACAAATATTGTTCTTCACTACTATCTAGCCGTACAAAACTTACTGCATATTTGGGAGGGCATGATCTGAACAATGCAGTTCATTTAAAAATCTGAATTTTCCAAACCCATTTTTGCCATTACAAAAACACACACATTACTGACAAATCTTGAGGGTAACAGGGCATGGCTTGGGACAGAGGCTTCCTTGTCTTATTCTTTTGGCTTTGCTAAAACTGTTCAGGGCTTCTATCTTCTTTCTGTCTCTGCTCAGAGCTTGATCATTCTCAGTATGTGTAATGTAGAAAACAATGCAGAAAATGGGAATATAGTGGAGGCATGTAAAGCTATTTTGAAATAGTATTTCTGCCTCTTTTAACATCCTTCAGTTTGTTCAGAGACAAACCTGGACTGATGGTTCCTGTGAGGTATGTTTTGCACTCCAGAATAAGATGATTGGAATAACCGGAAGTGCCAATATTTAGAATATACATAATGTACAGTGTGTTTTTGTGCGGACTGAAGTTGGAGAAATTGTATGTGGAGAGAAAAGAGTGAAGACTTTCTCTCACACTGCAGCATTGTTTATGACTATACTCTGTCACATATTTGGGGAGTAATAAAATAATTCTAAGCATGGACCTTTGCCATTATGTGTAGTACGACTAAAACTCCTAATAAACACAATCCACTTGAGAACACTTCATGGTTTTCCTCTCTTATAAAAACCTAATTTCTCTGCTATTATTTTACATAACAGGAAAGTCACAACTCCTGATATCCTGCCAAATTATTCGAATTGAGGCTCAGCATGCATTAATAACAATGTGGTTGTTGTGGTGCAGGGTCAGATCAGTAAAGAGCTGTTAACAGAAGACAGGTTTGATTACCATTGGCTGTAGGCAAGACATATGGATCCCTTAGGAACAGAAGCACAGGCTGGTGGGACAGTTTGCTAGAAAGGTCAAGAACAGGCATGTCAGCATCAAGGGATAGTAAACTGAAGACACTACAAACTAGCTTTGATAGACTGAGAGGGTAGAGCTATGTATAATCCTTGTTTATATAATCTAGTTTGATTAAAAAGGAAGAAAACATTATTTGAGAAAGCAAGGTCAGATGCCATTCTTATAAAGGAATTTTCTCAGAAGCAGGTTTAACAAAGATCAATGAGACCCAGTCTATAACCAAACAGGGATGCAACTCTGAAATATACAATATTTTATATGCATGTATATAACTTGCTCTGGAATCATCTCACCATAAAGCAAGTTCAGCAACTTACAATGGCCCCCCTTTCCCCGTGACTTAACAATATTTAATTTGTTTTGGCTGCCACAGATGCACAAAATAAGAAATTGGGAACCTATGTAACAAACTAAAACTGCTATTTAGATAGAATTTAATGAAATTTTACTTCCCAGGAAGATCTGGAATTTAAAACACTCAGTTGTCAGGGTAGTTTTGGTTTATGTATGTAAAGCATTGCATTTTGCCATTATTTTTGTGTAAACCACTATGAGTCCCCCCAGGGGTGAGAAAACGGTATATAAATACTGTAAATAATAAATAAATAATAGTTAATTTAGGTTGCAATAGGGCTTACGTTACTAATTACTAGTTTGTTCCATGATTTTCAGTGGGCATGCTCTTCCTTAGCAAGTGACAAACCTTCTATATGAATAGACATAGTCGTTGGTGATGGTCTTGATAAAGACCTTTGGTGTTCATCCATTGGTGGAAGAAAGAAAAACACAGAGCAAGAATTGTTTAAAGCTACAGACAATGTGTTGGCTGTTGCCCGTTTTTGGTCTAAAATTATTTGGCCACTTGTGCTCCCTCTATTTTATCAGTTTTAAACTTGTTTTATTTATGCAATACTTTTGACATGAAATAAATAAATGGGCTTGTTCTAAGCATGATCATTTTAGATCCCATCCACTTATTTCAAGGGAAGAGTTGTAAAGCATACCTTAGATAGATTGTGCTCATTGGTAAAAGTAAAAAAAAAATAATCCGCAATAGCCAGATTCACAGAAAGTGATACTTTTCTTTATCTTGGCACAGAAAACAACTTCAGAGGTACAATATATTTTATTTTGCTAGAAACGTTTCTAAATGTGACTTTAAAAATGCACAGTTATTCTAATTTCATATTATATAATATTTTTAAAGCGTTTGCTTCCTCTGTAAAACTGCTTACCTTGATTCTTCTGATTCTGTTTCTTCAAAAGAACTGGAATATTAAAAAGCATGCCGAATAGGTTAGATTGAGGAAATATGAAATCCTTACACATTACATATTCAACAAAGGAAAACTATTTAACCAGTGTGAAAATAAATGAGGTGTTTTCTGCTTATTGTTAAGATCACATTACATTTGATTATTGTAACAATGCTTCCAGTTGTCAAATAATTCTATACTCTATTCTACTGTCATAAGGGATTGTTTCAGAGGGCAGGATTCATAATAGTCTGCTAGTAGAGCAGTAAACGCCAGTCATTTCCAGCAGTATAGCATTTATCATTTCAACCCATTCCAGAAATTGTATGCACCAAGGTGATCATAATGTTTGATGTCATCTCCTTGGAATCTGTTCTATTCAATGGAATATATATATACATATGTAGATAATACTGTACATTTCTGTGAGAGCCACTAGAGCTATGGGTATCTATGAAGACTCCATGGAATCAAGTATTCTTCCACAGTATTGCTAGACTATCTGATGGCAATTTTCCCCTAATAATAATAATAATAATAATAATAATAATAAGCTTTATTTATATCCTGATACCTCTCCCCTGGGGGACTCGGGGTGGCTTACAGCAAAACAAACAAATACAATAAATAATATAACACAAACAATAACTACGTATCAATTAATAAAACAATATAGAACAATACTGTAAACATAAATAAACATATTAAAAGTCTCTAAAACCAGTATGAAATGCTGTTTATAACCAGCCATTCCTATGATGAGAGTATCCAGGCTATAAATTATAGTTCTAATAACCATTAAAAATCCTGTCTAATAGGGAGATTGATATCTTTAGCCAATATTAAGAGCCTGTTGAAACAGCCAGGTTTTTACATTCTTCCTAAATGTCTAATTTCCCTGGGGAGGGCCTTCCAAAGTAGGAGGCCACTATTAAGAATGCCCTCTCTTGTCCCCACCAACCTCGCTTGTGATGGAGGTGGGATCGAGAGGAGGGTCTCCCCGGCTGATGTGTCAGTAACTAGTAATACATTTGTACCATTAGCTTCAAATGCATCTTTCTTTCTTGGAAATTCACTGGAGCATCAACTATTGGATTGCCAGTGGTTCGAGGACCACAATTTGAGTAGCACTGCTCTATCACAGGCATGGAGAAAGTGAGTAGCAATTCCATACCTCCTCTAAATAATGTTTACCCCAGTTTTCCCCTTGATAAAAGAGTCAGTCAATGTGGATTACAAAACATAAAAACACAAATAACTAATATTTAATGACAATAGCAGCAATAAACTTTAAAGGTAATGTATAAAATAAGTGAAATTGTTGTTTTGACTCTTCTGTAAAACAAAGTACTGGGCTGCCTTTCCAAATCTATTTTGGCCATTGTAAAAAGCCTGTGTAAAATGAAATTAGTCCTGCAAGTATGTAGCATCTATTTTTAAATGTGGAGTTGTACCAGAGTATATACTTCACTTCTGGTGAAAGTTTCTCAAGTTGCTCCTGACTCTCTCTCTCACACAAAACCCAAAGTATATAACTAGTTCATTTGTATGTTGCATTGTGAGATTTAGGTAAAATTCTTACCCACAACTTTCGGCTTTGGGGAGGGAAGGAAAATGACGCACGTTGAGGAAGTCAAGAAAAATTTTGGGAAGCTCTTCATTATCCAAAATAATACTCTACAACAATAACAAAAAAAAAAGGAATCAAAATAATGCACATAAAACAAATCATGTAAATGTTCAAACAAAGGGGCTGGCATATTTCTCTTTTTAAACAACACAGCCAGTAACTAAAACCACTTCATTTCTAGGATCTGAAAGACTCTCATCCATCATGGCAGTATGGGAGCAGAAGTCTCCTGAGTGTCTGGGGGTCTAGCTGGTTTCATTAATGAAAGATTCAGAGCATGTCAACAAGGGGAGGCTAGTGTTTGGCTTGACAGATCAGCTTACAATGCACTGGTTCATCTATAAACTGATAGCAACCTGGCCAAAGTTCTGTAGTGCAGACCCACAAGTTCTCTATGTGACATTCAACAATACTGAGATGAAATGCTTATGTTTCACAACAAATTGCAATCTACAGAACGCAGGTCTTATAATCATTTAATTAGAAAACTATTAATTAGCAATACATCGAACACAAAATAAGAGAGAGAGAGAGAGAGAGAGAGAGAGAGCTGAATATTCAATTACCAAAAAGTCCTGTTTTAAGAACATTACAGATTTCAAATTTGGGGATAGTTATAAATGGATTCAAGAGCCAGAATGTATACTGTATTGTAAATTGTCTTTGTTATGCATACAAATCCTAATTAGACAAGCAACCCATTCTCAACCTAATTCAACTCATAGTTGTAATGGAAAAACTGTACAAGTTCTTTAGAAGAACTGTAGGTCTACATATTACACAAGTGATCCATTCTAGGAGCCTTTGAGTAATACAATTCCTGCATTCTATCTGAATATCTGAAAAACTGTACAATGCACTGTCAAAGTGTTACCTCTTTGCTCCCCTGCGACACCACTGAAGGGACAGTAGCTGAAGGGATGATTCACATGCTGAAGGGAAGGCTCACATGTTGGATGCAATCTGTTCCCTTCGTAGATGCCAAATTTGGTGGGAAGCCTGACTGTGTGAAGGCATCCATCACTCTTCACTGAGAAAGAAGTCTGTCTCCTTCCTCCATGAAGAGAAGTGACTGAAGCTAAGCTATGTTGTTTTCTCTCTTCAGCGGAATGAGTCTGTTTCCTTTCTTGATGGACAGAAATGCAGTTGGGCTTCACTCGACTCTTTCTGGCAAAGAGAAGTGATGGAAGTCCAGCTATATTTCTGTTTGCCAATAAATAAGTCCATGTGCTTTCTTGGTGGACAGAGGTAATGGAAGCCTGATTATGTTTCTGCCCACCAAGGGCCCTTCCAGATAGGCCCTGTATCCCAGAATCTAATCCCAGGTTTCTGTTTACCCCAGATTATCTGACAGTGTGGACTCATACAATCCAGTTTAAAGAAGAAAACCTGGGATCAGATCCTGGGATAAAGGGCCTGTCTGGAAGGGCCCCAATACAAGAACGGACTCAAGAGAAAACAAAGGCATGAGCAAGCAGTGATAGGCAGTCTTATTCAGTGAAAGCTGCTCATTGATGCTGGCACATATTGAAAATATTGTAAAAGTGGAAGATTATTTTTTCTAAACCGTACAGCAAGTAAGCCTCATCAATAATCAAATATCTAAAAGTTTCTCTTGTCATCATTCATATCACATTGGGTGACATGAATGATCAGGTATGATAAAGATGTACCTCAGAAAAGTGTGAGGGTATATCTATTTCATAATAATATGAAACCCATAGGAATTCTACTTTGTGATTTATGACTTTGCTTTTTTGTTATCCTTTAATGAGCTAAAATTATTACAAAGAAGCGATAAATGTCACCATTTATGACATCAAGGTGGTAATAAGAAAATGAAAGATGATTGTTGCTGTTTATTCTTTCTGTCGCTTCCGACTCTTCATGACCTCATGGACCAGCCCACACTCCCTGGCAGCCGTCGCCACCCCCAGCTCCTTCAGAGTCAAGCCAGTCACTTCAAGGATACCATCCATCCATCTTGCCCTTGGTCGGCCCTTTTCCCTTCCATTTTCCCCAGCATCATTGTCTTCTCTAAGCTTTCCTGTCTTCTCATTATGTGGCCAAAGTATTTCATCTTTGCTTCTAATAGCCTTCCTGTCAATGAGTAGTCGGGCTTTATTTCCTGAAGTGTAGATGGGTTTGATCTTCTTGAGGTCCAAGGCACTCTCAGAATTTTCCTCCAACACCACAGTTCAAAAGCATCTATTTTCCTTCACTCAGCCTTCTTTATGGTCCAGCTCTTGCATCCATAGGTTACTACAGGGAATACCATTGTTTTAACCATATGGATCTTTGCTGCCAGTGTGATGTCTCTACTCTTCATTGCTCTCTTCCCAAGAACTAAATGTCTTCTGATTTCCTGGCTGCAGTCTGCATCTGCAGTGATCTTCGCATTAGAAATACAAAGTCTGTCACTGCCTCCATGTTTTCTCCCTCTATTTGCCAGTTATTGATCAATCCGATTGCCATAATCTTGGTTTTTCTATGTTATAACTGCAACCCAGCTTTTGAACTTCCTTCTTTCACCTTGACTAGAAGGCTCCTCAGCTCCTCCTCACTTTCAGTCATCAAAGTGGTATCATCTGCATAAGTTGTTAATGTTTCTTTGAGCAATTTTAACTCCAGCCTTGGATTAGTCAAGCCCCGCACATCGCATGATGTGTTCTGTATACAAGTTGAATAGGTTGGGTGAAAGCATACAATCCTACTCCATGCCTTTCCCAATCTTGAACCAGTCTGTTGCTCCATGGTCAGTTCTTACTGTTGCTACTAGGTCATTATACAGATTCCTCAGGAGACAGACTTGGGATCCCCATATTACCAAGAACTTGCCATAGTTTGTTATGATCCACACAAAGGCTTTAGAATAGACAATAAATCAGAAAAAGATTTTTTACTGAAAGATGATATCTGCTGAGAAATCACATGGTTCATCATGTATGTGAACGCTAACTAGAATATGAAAATGTTTCTCATGATGGTAAACCACCATCATGGTAACATGATTGGGCCAACGTGGCTGAAAATCAGGTCACAGCCAACTGACTTGAAGAAAGAGACATACAGCATTGAAGCAGATCTCCACAATTTATGTCAATTGTTAGAGACAGGACATAAAGCTTTGGGATTCTGGCAGGTGCAAAGCCTTTCAGTTCACCTTTAAATGAGAATTCTGCATTAAATGTGTCTTCCATTTGCATTTTGTAAAATCAGCATTCTGCTGCTACAAAATTCATCTTGCTTTGCATTCCAGTTATTCATGGAAGGAGGGGTGATGGAGGATGCAAGTCAAAAGGTATGTGAACTGCATAACAATAGACACTGTTTAACCAAACCACTAATAGTCACTAATCCAGGTTTTGCAGGAGACTATCAAGAAAGCTATTCAAGCAATTAAGGACTCTTTTAAATACAAGCAGAGTAAGCTTTAGCCTACTGAAACCATGCCTAGAAGCCTATCAGTGTCTTCTCCAGGCAAAAGATCCCCCATGGAAGCACTTGGACATTTTTTCCCGTTAAACAACAGCTGGATTCAGTTTAAATTTGCAAAAATGAAATTATGCATGGTTGCTAACAATTCACCTTTAGTTCCATAATGATATAATTCACTAACTAGTAGGTCCCTTAATGGATATAACTCTTTGTTTAAATAGTTCTTGAACAAAACAACAATTTTAGCAACTTTCTTCCCACTGCAAAAAGTATTGTAAAAATGTGAAAGGATTATTTGCTGTGCAGGACTTATTCTGCTGAAATGCCATGTGTGGTTTTGAGTGTGTGCAAGAATTACATTTTCTCTGAGGAAACAGATTTTTTTTGTGCTGAAAATATTTCACTGCAGAAATATATTCTGTGCAGAAAGTAGTGCTATTGTTCAGGACTTATTCTCCATGAAACATGCATCTGTTTTATATGCTGAAATTTTTTTCTACACAAAAATATTTATAATATTAATAAAAATAATATCTCCCCTTGGGGAGATAGGAACAGGGTATAAATAAAATTGTTGTTGTTGTTATTATTATTATTATTATTATTATTACAACATGCAAATATCATGTATTGTTTGCAAAATGTGATGGGAGGAAATTGCAGAAAAATCAATTTGTAAACATTTTAAAACATTTTTGTATCCCTATAGCTATCCATTTTAGAGGAAAATATTAATGATTTCCATGTAACTAGCCTTTGTTCTGTTGTTGTGTCTTAGAAGCACTCCTAGAAATGTTTATCAGATTTTTTTAAAAAAACAACAGTATGGTATTATGTAATAAACCACCTAAAATCCCAATTTTTCTTCAGTACATTCTCAGCTTCATAAAAACATATTCCCAGAGGATGTCATTGGTTAGTTGTGCATGTTCTCTCGGTGACATCCCAAATTCTTAATTGTCAGTTATCTTTTCTCCTTCAGTAAGTAAAATCTAGTCACAAAATTGCAGAGGGACTTGTTCTGCCTTAACCTTAGCTAGATGCCATCATGCAGTGGAAAACAGTGCTAAAATATCACAGGGTAATGTTCTCCAGGATGGGAGACATATAAACAGCATAATGATTTCCCACGAGTTTCCTTTTTAAAAAATTGTCACGAAAGCCAGCATAAATGGTGACACTTCTTCACAAAGGACACTGTGAAATCGAACCCTGGCATTCTAGTTAGGTCCAAACCTACTCATCAGCCAATTATAACTGTAGCTGAACAGCCTGCTGAAAACTTGGACAAGACCATTTCCCTAACCTTCTGAGAGCGCACCAGAGGATTGCATTGTTTTCACTGATTGATTTTCTTTTTAACACACAAAACAGCTCTAAAAATGCATCCCCTCCTCCCTAATCATCCAAATCTAGTTCCCCAAGACCCACAACTGTATTCAAACCAGAACACCCTTTGTGTTATATACTAAAACGTTAGTGCTTTTTGAAGGTTTAAATTCCTTTTATTTTGCAATCTTTTAGTTTGAAATGCCCTACTGTTAGGGTGAAAAAGTTCATGCCAGTTTTTTCCTCTCTTCACAAGGAAAGATGCTTCACAATATCTAAT